TCAAGAAAACATTAATACTTAAAATTTAATTCACTTGTTAATTTAGTCAAAGGAAGATTCCAGGATAAAATTACAACTTTTTCTATACTCAAACCAGTATCAGCAAGACACAGGTGCAACACGCCCCTCTATCAGAGAATCATTAAATATCTATGTAGAAAAATAAATAAATAAATAAATAGATAAATAAATAAATAAATATCTATGTAGAACCAAAAACACCTAAGCAAACAAGATATGAAACTCCAGCCTCGGGCTGCCCGGGTGGCTCAGCAGTTTAGCACCACCTTCGGCCCAGGGGGTGATCCTGGAGACCTCGGATTGAGACCCGCATCGGGCTCCCTGCATGGAGCCTGCCTCTCTCTGTATCTCTCATGAATAAAGAAATAAAATCTTAAAAAAAAAAAAAAAAAAAAAGGAACTCCAGAGTCACTCCTATTCTTCCTATAGGCAAATGAAACTACCTGCCACTTAAATCAGTATTTGTTATTTTGGGGAGAAGCTGATATTTTAAGTAAGATGGCCTAGGCTCTTCCAAAGACACAAAGCTATCGACATTAAATCAAAACGCTATGTTCGTGTCATACAGTACTTCCGTAAAGAAATTTAAAAAAAAAATCTAATTTAACATTTAATTCCAGTCTTTTAGATAGAGACTCACAAGTGAACGGTGCCAGAGTTACAAAACTAGACACCGAAGCATAGAGTCATTTCCAGGTCTACTGGGGCTAGAGGCAACTAACCTGACTCCCTCTCTCCATTATGGCTGTGGAACAAGCTGAGCCCTTAGTTCAGGTGACTGGAGCATGGTGCCAGGAGCCTGCTCTCTACACAGTGAACAGTGGCTGCTGACAAGTCGTGTAGGGAACTAAGTCATACACAAGCATCCTTATCCAGCCTCCAGGAGACTCTTCAGGCCCTGTGTGCAGGCTCTTCTCTTACCCTCACGGTGTCCCATCCCCTCCCCTCCCCTCCCCTCCTCACCTACCATCTCCTCCTCATCCTTCAGGTCTTACAAGTCCCTTCCTCAGGAAAGCCTGTCCCACCACCCCCAGGTCGGGTTAGGTTCCCTAGTCATCGTTTTTATAGCTCCCTATACTCTACTTCAAAGGACTTATCCCCCCTGTTGTTGAAAACAAGGTACCTAGCATGAGGTCAGGAGGTACACAGAAGGCACTCCAGAAAGACTTGCTGAATGAACAAACAAATCTGAATTTATGGTGTCCCCACCCTCTGCTCAATTTTACAAAGAAACAAGGCTTTAAAAAATGAAGTTATTTACATGATGTGATATAGCCTGGAAATGGCATAGACCAGTTAAGAATCCAAGTGTTTGCAACTCTAAATCCCATGTTCTGACCCCCCATGTACTATAATGAAATGTGGTAGAAGACAGATTTCATTCAAATTAATATTGTGTTTACACTGAGTTCCACTGTAAAAATGAGATGCTTTATTTTTTTAAGACTTTATTTATTGATTCATGAAAGACAGAGAGAGAGAGAGAGAGAGAGAGGCAGAGACACAGGCAGAGGGAGAAGCAGGTTCCCTGCGGGGAGCCCAATGTGGGGCTCGATCCCAGGACCCCGGGATCATACCCAGCCAAAGGCAGATGCTCAACCGCTGAGCCACCCAGGTATCCCTGAGATACTTTCTTAATGGGGAAAAAAAAAGGAGAGAGACTCTAAATACAAGTGAATCGCATCTAAAGGCAATATGCCTTTCAAAAATCACCCTGAAGGGACAAACTACAACTTTCTGGTAATAAATGGTCAGCATATTGTCGATAATAACATTGCACTAAAACAAAACAAGAAAGGTTAAAAGTGAAATTGCAAACATAACCCAAAAATGTCATCACCGGCCTCTTTCTAACTGAAGTTGCAACTCCCAAACTTTCAGGACGGTGGCAAAGTCTTCTTCTCCCAACTTCAGACTGCCTTAACACACCTAGCACATTTTCACCAAAGCTGATTTTGTTTTCAGCTTGCCACTAACTTTAATTTACTGGCCTCTTTTTTTCAACCACCTTCAAAGGCTACAGAAATAACAGGAACTTGAGACAGATGTACCCACAGTGGCCACGCTGGACCAGTGCAATCTCTGCTTGACACCGGAGGCCCAGATTGAATCCGCCACGCCAGGAATTGTCTTGGGTCCCCAAAACACTGAGGATGACCAGCCAATTGACTGATGGTGGCAAAGCTGACACTTCCACTTACTGGCTTGCATAACCAGTGGCAGGACATATCTCATGTCAACAGAGGGTTATAACTGGTAATGGGCCTTTTCAGAAACAAGTACACCAGGGAGTCTGACAGGTAAAAACAGTAAGTAAGCACCAACGCCGAGATGCAGGCCCCAAATTCTTAATGTTTGGCGAACGATGCTTCTTCAAACGCCTTTGTGACGCCTCACTAATTCTTTACATAATCAAAAAGGAATTTCTGTTATTAACTCAGGCTACCTGTTTTCTTTTAAAAATTAATTCATACCTTCATTTGCACAATTTTTTTCCTTCTGTGTTTTGACATATTTCAACGGCCTGTGGAGACTACAATACAGGATTCAGCATCCATTTTAAGTAAATACAAAGTCTGTTTGCCAACTTTACCATACAAAATGCCAAACTCAAATCTTTTTGACTTTAGGGCCTGACAGAGTGAGAAAAGCAAATAAAGCACTGTTCGCTTGATGCTGGCTCACTTAATTCTGATTAAAATGACCTCACAGGGCAGCCCCGGGTGGCCCAGTGGTTTGGCGCCTGCCTTTAGCCTGGGGTGTGACCCAGGGCCCAGGATGGAGTCCCCTCTCGGGCTCACTGCATGGAGCCTGCCTCTCCCTCTGCCTGTGCCTCTGCCTCTCTGCCTCTCTGCCTCTCTCTCTCTCTCTCTGTCACGAATAAATAAATAAAACCTTTAAAAAAATAAATAACTTCACCAAAGAAAAAAGTATCCCGACTTCCTCCTAATAGAACTTCCAAGAGATGCGACAACACCTGAGGGACTGGCCACGATGATCTCTGAGGTTCCGCCCAACTTTCCTGAGCTACGAAATAATACGTTTGTAGCCCAGAGACTTAATTCCATTTACAGATGGATTAATGTGGGATTAAAATCGCCTTCTTCCAGCTAGCAAAATATTTAAGATCCTGTCCCCACTTTTTGTTGTTTTTTTTTTCCCCCTTCCCCATTTGGGTCATATTATTCCCCACGACTGGGGAATAAATAATGCCTCAATTCAAGCATCCTTCCCCAGGCCCAGGAGGGAGACACATTTCACTCCTATTAAAGTCTACCAACTAAAAAGCAACTGTGGATTAAAATGCGGGGGAAAGGGTGGGTGTGTGTGTGTGTGTGTGTGTGTGTGTGTGTGTGGCGGGGAGGATGTCATCCCCGACTTCTAGAAGTGGCTTCCAAACGTCTAGAAATGTGGATTCAGGGCAGCCGGGGTGGCTCGGCGGTTCAGCGCCGCCTTCATCCCGGGGCGTGACCCTGGAGACCCGGGATCCAGTCCCACGTCGGGCTCCCTGCATGGAGCCTGCTTCTCCCTCTGCCTGTGTCTCTGCCTCTCTCTCTGTGTCTCTCAAGAATAAATAAATATTTAAAAATAAATAAATAAGTAAGTAAGTAAGTAAATAAAAAAAAAAATGTGGATTCACAGACTCCTCCAATTCCGCGGCATGGAGCACCTGCGCGCAGCCAGCCCCGGCCCCGGCCCCGGCCCCCCGCCGCGCGGGCTGTCAGCTACTTTGCAAACTTCGCGGCGGCGCGCCGGCTCTCCAGGCTCCCGGGTCCCTCCTCCACCCCGTCCCCCTCCCTCCAAGCCCGGTCGAAACCAAGTTTCCCCCCCACCCCCACCCCGCCGGGCACCGAAGGGCAATGATGTTAATTAAAGGGACGGCGGCGGCCTGAGTCCTGCCCCCCTTGGGGGCTGCGCAGGACGCGAGGGAAACTTGCAGAGGGAGACGCGTCCCCCGGGAGGGGGCGGGGCGCGGAGGGGGCGGGGCGCGCGAGGGGCGGGGCGCGGGGGGGAGGGGCGCCCCTCCCCCAGGACCCGGCGACCCCGCAGCCCCCCGCCCCCCCCCGCCCGGCGCCCGCCGCCTGCCAGTCACTCCCGCGGAGCCCCGCGGAGCCCCGCGGCCCGGGTTCGGGGGGGGCGGAGGGGGGGCCCGGGACGGCCCCGCACGCGGCCCCCGAGCCCGCTCCGTCCCCCTCCCCCGGGGCCGGGAATGGCGGCGTCCGGCTCCGCGGGGAACCCCACAGCCCGGCGGCGGCGGCGGCGGCGGCGGCGGCGGCCCCCTGCGCGGGGAGAGGAGAAAAACGAAGTTACCTCGGGACGGTCCCGGCGGCGGCGGCGGCGGCGGCGGCGGCGGCGGGAGGGGGCCGAGCGCGGGGTCGGGGCAGCCGAGCGGGTCCCGGCGCGGCGGCGGCGGCGGCGGCGGCGGCGGCGGCGGCGGCTACCGCAGTGCCCTCCGCCCCATTGTTTCCCTTCCAAGAGGATCCCGGCGCAGCTGAGCCCGGGAACCAGGAAGTTCCCCGGCGCGACACCTCCTGCCGCCGCTATGGAAACGGCCCCCGCCTCCCAGGGCGGCTCGCCCGGGACCCCGCCTCCGCGCCGCCGGCCCCGCCCGCCTCACGGGCCGCCGCCAAGCGTCGGCGATGCGGCCGCGGCCGCCGCCATCTTGGCGCGGCCCCCGCGGCCCCTTCCCGGCGGCACGTGCGCGCCGGCGCCGCGTTCCCGCCTCCGCGAGGACCCCGGCGGCCGCCGCTGGAAGACGCCCGCCCGCGCGCGCTCGGCCGGCCCTGCGGCCCGCGAACCAGCAGCCCGGCTTGCGGGCGCCGCGCGGGGCCCGCGCGCTCCGGCCGCCGCGGGGGGCGAGGTCAGCGGTGCCGCGGCCCCGGCGCCACCTCTGCAGCCACCTCTCCGCAGGTTTCATTCCGGGCGCATCTTCCTGGCTGCCGGGGCTTGGACCTTCTCACCCCGCCAGCGCCCCCGCCGCGTGACTCAGTTTCCTCACCTGTAAGGAGTCCTGATAGTAGTAGTACCTGCCTCCTAAGGGTCGTCACCCGCCGCAAGCGAGGGCTGGGTCGTTAACAGGTGCAAAATGTTAATCCGTTCAATCGAACGGCGTTGCTCCTAAGAGAATTCACATTCCTGAAAATCTTTCAGGGACTTCCAAGTGTTCAAATCAGCACGACTTTAAATAGGCTACTGTTTCAGATCCCAACTGCCGCCTAAAATTCCCCCAAATGTTCGTCTTTTTTGTCCCATCTTTCTCTAGGTCAGCTTTCTTTTTTTATATCATGGAAACTGTCGAGAGTTTCAGTCTCCAGAGTCTTCTATTAAGAGGTGCCATTTAAAAAAAAAAAAAAAGATGAATGATGTAAACTTTCCGACACTGTAATTAGCTGACAGTTAAATGATTTATTCAATAGGAGCTAGAAGACTTAGGGTGTGCAAATAACAAAGGCTTCCTGTCCTTGATTCCAGGATCTAGAATTAGTAAAGTTGGCAACTGCGCTGTTGTTATTTTCTCTTTTTTTTTTTTCCAGCTGGTGAAAACGGACACCAAAAAACTGGGTTGCTGCGTGCAATGTGGAGGCAGAGAGATGGACAGAGGAAGTGGGACCACAGTCTTTGCTGAAGGATGCAGACCTCGCTAACTGCGTAACACTTGGTCTTAGATGGATCTCCAAGGCTCCTTGTAGCTCACAACTGGTCTTATTTGCGCATACACCCTTTAAAATAATACTTCCCTTTGCTTATCCATTTAAACCAGATTTGCAAAGGCTAGTGTTTAATAAGCCCAATCCAAAACGGATATATGAATTGGAGTGAAAAACAGATCAAGAGTTGGCAGGACATGGGAAACTTTCCCAACACCCAAACACTTCTCCAGAACTTCTGGAATGCCCCAATTAGCAATTACCCAGATTGAGATATCTGTATTTCTTTCTTTTTTTTTTTTTTTTGAGATTTTATTTATTCATGAGAGACACAGAGAGGCAAGACATTGGCAGAGGGAGAAGCAGGCTCCCCACGGGGAGCCCTATAGCAGACTCGATTCCAGGACCCCGGGATCATGGTCTGAGCCAAAGGCAGATGCTCAACCACTGAGCCACCCAGGTGCCCCGAGATATTTGAATATCTGAAAGGCAAGAGCCCCCACTCCTACAGCTGTGTAGCCCAGCTGGACCAGCAGTTTTCTTTGCACATAGTAGGCCCTCAATATTTATTGAATTAAATGGCCATGTTTGTGGCTGAGTGCTCAACATTTAAGGAGTCGTTGGGAACCACAGATGATGTTACTCAAGGGACATCACTGCAGACATCATTAACAGGAACCCCCAAGTCACTAGTTAAGGAGTTAATGGGATTTTGGAATGAACAACCCTGGCCACAGGCTTATTTGGAAAAATAAAGTGGAAATTTCAGATACATTTTTTCCATAACTTATATGGGTAATCTTTTAAAACTTTATTTTGGACCTAATGATGAGTAACACTGATTCAATTTTATGCTTCAGTGATAGTCCTCTGACTCTATAGTACAGTTAAAGCTCCAAAGTCCCCACATTTTCCCCCAAATCCAAGTGTCACCAGTGAGTTATGTCACTTCAGTATAAAACCAGTATTTGTTCTTAGGTATAACTTTAGGGGCTTGCCATAATTTTTGTATTTTTAAGCATCTTGGAGGTATTGTTAAATGGCAAACACAGATTTCTGTCACCAGTGTAGGGCTTTACTCTGGGGTAGGCATGCAAATTCACTTATCTAGCATACGATAAACAGAACTTGTGTCAGTGATTATCATGGAAATAAAGATAGAACCATTTTTCCTCTAAATTGGGGATGGGCAAACTTTTTCTTAAAGGGGAAACATAGTAAACATGAAGGCAACTGTAGACAATATATAACAGGATGAATGTGCCTCAATTCCACTAAAAACTTACTTATGGCAATAAATGGGTTTGAACCACAAGGCACTATTTTGCTGATTGATCCCTCAGTAATTGTATTTATATTAAATTCATTCCATTTTTTTTTAATTTTTATTTATTTATGATAGTCACACACAGAGAGAGAGGCAGAGACACAGAGGGAGAAACAGGCTCCATGCACCGGAAGCCCGACGTGGGATTTGATCCCGGGTCTCCAGGATCGCGCCCTGGGCCAAAGGCAGGCGCTAAACTGCTGCGCCACCCAGGGATCCCTAAATTCATTCCATTTTTATATTCACTCCAATGTGAATTGCCAGATATTAAAATACAAAGGGTAAAAGCTTGATATCAATAAAGCACCAAAAAGTCAAAAGTCCTACAGAGTAAGTTTGTGTTACCAATAAAATGTTTCACATATACCAAAGGTTTAGAACTACATTTCATATACTATAATGGAATAAGGTAGGTGGACGTTTGTATATCATTTTTGCAAAAGCTATGAGCTGTGGTAATGGAAATACTTAAAATGTTGACAAAGATTGCATGTTTAAACCTCTCCCCGCTACCCTTAGGATGCTATAATTACTAAAGCCAGAAGTACAATTTGAGGTGAGAACGTAAAAACATAGAGAAAAAAATAAACCTCCAAATCATCCATCCTTCACTGTCATCTAGAGAAGGTGGATCAAAGTGTAGGTCCTCCGAGTGTCCTGTAAATTGAGAATTCGAAATGTGAATCCATGGCTATTTGATCCATTCCATTTTTTTTAATAGGGGTAAGCAGATAGCTCCTGGGGAAGATGCAGCAGAGAGGAGAGCGAAGACGGTGGTAATAAAGCTGTGGAAAGTTCTGTGCACGTTTTCATCCTCAATAGCAGCAGTACTTTAGGAAATTTCGAAAGGAACCACGAGCTCTTCGTTGGTTAGGAAAGTCACTTCCAATGACACTACATATAATTGTTCTTCCCTGTTGGGAAGAAAGACACACTAATCAATATCTGTGCACGTGGTATAAGTGAAAAAGCAATGGATAACCAACAAGGACGTCCACATTGCTTATATGAAAAAGTTTTCCTTTGGTTAAAAAGAGAAGTTACTGATGCAGTTAGGAAAGTTTGTATAAGAAATGGGAGCCACATAAAACTTTATGAAAGGTGTTGGGATCACAGTTCATTACTTAAAACTATCTGGAGTTATCTTGCTTATTTATTGGCATACTTGGTTTGTTTGGTTTTTTTAAGATTTTATTTTAGAGAGAGAGAGAGAGCACAAGTGGGGGGGGGGGCAGAAAGGGAGAGACTCTCAAGCAGAGTCTGCACTGAGTGCAGAGCCTGATGCAGGACTTGATCCCATGACCTGAGCCAAAACCAGATGCTTAACCAGCTGTCCCACCCAGGCACCCCCCCCCTCGGTGGGGAGAGGGGAAGGGGGTTCTATCTTGAAAATGTTCATGTCATGAGACTGAGGAACTTACCTGTCTTCTTCCCTATTCTATCCCTTGGTCCATATCAGTGCCTGGTACAGCTCTCTGTATGTAAATAATTGTAGAAGAATAAAGGAAGAGAAGGAGGAGGGAGGAACAAAGGTAACAGCCATTTTCCTACATTTCTGAGCAAAAATTTCCTAAATTTCTGTCATATACTCCAAAGGGTCTCTGACTGAAAATAACAAAAACCAAGTAAGAATGACTGGTTTTCAACTACAAAGGCTGCCTCTCATTATCTCCTCTGCCCTTTTGCTCACCAGCTACCCTGCTCTCATAACAAAATGGTTATCATGGTTTGCCCAAAATCTACAATGATGCCATATCATTTGGAAAGTGTCTCATTATGTTTTTATAACTTTAGAGAATTGCTTCTGCCCGCTTAAAGTTGCCATACTTAAAGTCACCATTGGACTGCCTCCTAGACACCAATGCCCTTTATTTTTTGTTTAAGATTTTATTTATTTCAGAGACAGTGAGCATGAGTGGGGGCATGGGGAGCAGAGAGAGAGGGAAAAGAAGGCTCCCCAATGAGCAAGGAGACCGATGTGGGGCTCAATCCCAGAACCCTGGGATCCTGACCTGAGCCAGAGGCAGATGATTAACCCACTGAGCCACCCAGGTGCCCCCCCTTATTTTTTTTAAATCTCCTCCAACAATTGTATTAAAAAGTGCTATATGATATTGAAATAAACGTGAAGTACAATTTCAAGGCATTCTTGTCCCTGTCTTAAGGTGATAAAACTTGCCTCTGTGTATATGATTTTTTAATTAACTTTAAACCCTTGTGTACCTAAATCTATATAAGTTGTGTGCTAATTTTCAAAGCTAGTCCCCCAGTGACCCATGCCTCCAACGTTCACATCTTTGCATACTGTCCTCCTCTTGAATCTGGGCCGCCCCTGTGACTCACTTTTTGAGCAAAAGAATAGGGCAGAAGTGATGCTGAATATTTTCTAAGACCAGATGATAAGACGTCTTACAGCTTTTGCCTGGGACTCTGAAATACTTACCCTTAGTGGACTCCCTCCTCGAACTCAGCTTCCATGTTAAGGCCACGTATTGGTGACAAGCTTTGCTTAGACCTTCAACCGATAGCATCAACTGCTAGGCCTGTGGGGGAGCCGTCCTGGGCATCCAGCACAGTTGAGCCTTCAGATGCCTTGAGCATCTGTGACCCAATAAGAAACCCAACTAAGGGCACCTCAGATGAGCCTAGTCAACCCATGGAACAATGAGAGCACAAATTAATTGTTTGTTAAACCATTGAGTATAGGGTGGTTTGCTACCCACGTATATTGATAACTGGGATAAATTGATTAAAAATACAGTGCTGAGGCTATATTTAGAGACATTTAAGCTAAAACCTTATAAATAACCTTGTCAAAATTAACAGAAATGCTGTATAAGAAGGTCGAGTTATAGAAGAACAAGGTAAACCGTAAAAGATCCTTAGGCATTCCGGGGCATGCTTCTGCTGATTCTATCTGGCTCTTTCCTTTGAGGTGGCTCTTTTCCTTTGAGGCTCTTTCCTTTGACACTCGGCCAACGTGAAACAACGTGACAACCTTAACCTTCTGGTGTCTGCAAAGTAAATATACTTGCGATTAAATGTGACTTAGACATGAAAATAAGTCCCTGTCCACACACTTTGGCTAAAAAAAAAAAAAAAGGAAAGGAGTGGTCACAAGTAGCCAGACTAAAGACTCAATTAAAATGACACAATAGATGGGAAAAAAAATTTTTTTTAATCTACTCAACTTCTCTTTTCTATTTGTTAACACTTCGTGAAGATTGGGTCCAGAATGCCTAATCAGTTTTGAAATCTTAAAAAGCTCTGAAAACCAAAAGTGTTTTCCCCCCTAAATTTGGCACCTAAATTCATCTGCTAGCAACTGGATTTTCCTTTGGCTATTTATGGACTTTATTTTATTTAATCTGAATGTTCCTCCCGTTGTTGAACCATCAGTGTTTGATTGCAGGGTCCTAGCCCAGATCCCACTAACGCTGCCCCTTAAGTAACATGCAGTATACGTGCTGTGTCACCCTCCTAAAAATCGAAACTTCTGAATCCCAAAACAGTTTTGGTTTCAGACCTGAAGTAGACTTTACTGGAGACCTGAAGTAACATTTTGTGGTGCAAGGGTGAGACAATATGTTGTGAAGTCATTGAACATTTGATTCAGACAGCCTGAGTTCAAATCGCTACTCTGCTGTTTGCCACCTCTGAGACCTAGGTCAGGGAGGAACCCTCTGCCTCAGTTTCCCCCTCTGCAAAATGAAGATAGTGATAGACATTACCACATAGGGTTCTTAAAAGAACTAAATGATGAGATCATGCATGTAAAGGGATTACCGAAATGACTAGTAGTAAACACTCAACAAATGTTAACTCTTACTGTATTGTTATTATATAGAAGGTTCCTTAAAAAGTCAATAAAATTAATATCTCCACTACAGTTCAGGAAACTACTCAAAGGTATTACCAGCAGGAAGATATTCAACACAGGGGATCCGATGTACAAACTCTTTGGAAGGAGCCAACGGGGGAAGGTGAACAACACAACTCCTGGGTTATTCCACAGCAGTTGATGTCAGGAAGCTGCTGCATCCAGAGTCAGAAATCACAGGGAATGACATGAAATCACTGCCAATGTCACAGCTGCCTCACAGCTTAGAAGCTGGTAACTGTCAGGGGCATACTTTGTAGTCTAGCTTCACTGCAAAAATGTTTGTCTACCAAAGCCTCGGGTCAGCCACTACTGCCAGAGGAAATATGGCACGTTCCTTATGCCATTCAAATCCCAAGAGTGCATGTCACTGGCAGAAGGACACCTTATCAGAATTGAACTGGCAAGGGACTCTGGGAAATACAGCCCTTGCAAAACAGGTGATGCCCAACACAAATAATCTAATAATAACAATTTACATGTGTAAATTACTTGCCATAAAAGTTCTGTGAGGTGGGCAGGAACTGAGAAAGCAGAGGGGCTTCGTGGCCTCTCCAGTTGGCTGCACAGTGAGACAAGCAGGTGCTCATATTCCAGATCTAATGTGTGTTTCTTTATGCCAGCGCTCATCTGAGTCCTACTTTTCCCCCCAAGTCCTCATGCCATTTATATTATCATTTACTTACTGTTTTTCCTTCAGTTGACTCACAATTTCTACTTGAACTACATTGGAAATTTTGCATCACTATCTGAAGTATAATGCAAATCACTAACGGTGAGAAACAGGTGTCACATAACATAAGTGGAAGATAAAAGCAAAAATAGAAAACAGCAATGCTATTAAGACCACTTAATATCTTAAAAAAAAAAAAAAAAAAACGCCTGGGTGGCTCAGTGGTTTAGAGCCTGCCTTTGGTGAAGGGTGTGATATCCGGGTCCTGGGATCGAGTCCCACATTGGGCTCCCTGCAGGGAGCCTGCTTCTCCCTCTGCCTGTGTCTCTGCCTCTCTCTGTGTCTCTCATGAATAAATAAAATCTTAAAAAAAAAAGACCACTTAGATAGCATTGCCCACAGAAGGCAGGGAGCCTGAAGCCCACTCTCTCTTTGTTGAAAATGAGGATTAGCAAGTGTTGCAGTTGTTAGACAAACAGCAAACATCCTAACACCAAACTGAGATTCTCTCATTGATACATTCACAGGACTAAACCACTAAGATCCTTGAAATTAAATTTCTCACTACACGAGGCAAGGTTATTTAAAGCCCATCTTACCTTCCAAATACATCCCACACTTCAGGTAATGCTGATTCCTGCCAATTGTGAAAGTTGAGCTCAGAATCAGAGTATTTATTCATTCAATTTTTGTTTGGTTGGGTTTTTTAGGTTCTTAAAGATTTTATTTGTTTATTTGAGGGAGAGAAAGAGCTTGAGAGAGTGTGTGCAAGCAGGGAGGAGGGGCCAAGGGAGAGGGAGAAGCAAACTCCTTGCTGAGCAGGGAACCCAACGTGGGGCTCTATCTCAGGACGCTGGGATCATGACCTGAACTGAAGGCAGATGCTTAACTTACTGAGCCACCCAGGAGCCCTATTCCATTTGAAAAAGTACTTGGGGGGATCCCTGGGTGGCGCAGCGGTTTAGCACCTGCCTTTGGCCCAGGGCGCGATCCTGGAGACCCGGGATCGAATCCCACGTCGGGCTCCCGGTGCATGGAGCCTGCTTCTCCCTCTGCCTATGTCTCTGCCTCTCTCTCTCTCTCTCTCTCTCTCTCTCTCTCTCTGTGTGTGTGTGTGACTATCATAAATAAATAAATAAAAATTTAAAAAAAGTACTTGGTAGCTGAGTATTAAACACATGTCAGCATGTTTTGCTCCTACTGACTTGTTCGTAGAAGAGAGGTAAAATTCCCATCGCATAAACCATTTCAAAGTGAACAGTTCAGTAGCATTTAATACACTCACGATGTTGTACAACCACCACCTCTATGTTGTTCCCAAACATATCACCCCAAAAAAGACTCTATATCCAGTAACCAGTTACTCTCCCTTTTCTCTCTCCCTAGGCCCTAAAAACTACTAACCAGCTTCCAGTCTCTATGGGTTTACCCTGAATGTTTCACATAAATGGAATTATATAATGTGTGACCTTCTGTGTCCATCTCCTTTCACTTAGCATAATATTTTTGCATTCCACACACATTGTAGCAGGTACTAGTGCTTCATTCCCTGTTATGGCTGAATAATATCACATTGAATGGATATACCACATTTGTTCACTGATTCATCCACTGACAAACATTTGGGTTGTCTCCAACTTTGGGCTATTGTGAATAGTGCTGCAATGAGCATGTGTGTACATGAGTATGGGTCAGTACCTGTTTCTCAGTTATTTGGGGTGTACACTTAGGATTGGAATTGTGGGATCATATGGTGATCCTATGTTTAACTTTTGGAGGAACTACCAAACTGTTTTCCGTAGTGGCTGAACCATTTTACATTCCCACCAGCAGTGACAAGGGCTGCAATTTCTCCAAATCCTTGCCAACACTATTTATTTTCTGCTTTTGTGATTATAGCCATCCTAATGAGTGTGAAGTGATGTCTTATGGTTTTGATTTACATTTCACTGATGACTAATGATGCTGAGAATCTTTTCACATGTTTATTGGTCACTTGTATGTATATCTTCTTTGGAGAAATGTCTATTCGAGTCCTTTGCCCATTTTAAAAATTGGGTTGTTTGTCTTCTCACTGTGGAATTGTAAGAGTTCTTTGTTTATTCTGACCCTTCTTGGATAGGAGATTTGCAAATACTTTCTCCCATTCTGTAGGTTTCCTTTTTACTTTTTTTGTTTTTAAATATTTTATTTACTAATTCATGAGAGACACACAGAGAGAGGCAGAGACACAGGCAGAGGGAGAAGCAGGCTCCCTGCAGGGAGCCCAACGTGGAACTTGATCCCGGGTCTCCAGGATCATGCCCTGGGCTGAAGGCAGATGCTCAACTGCTGAGCCACACAGGCATCCCATCTTTTTACTTTATTGGTAATGTTCGCTGGTGGGCAGAAGTTTTCAATTTTGATGAAGTCCAATTTATCTGGGGTTTTTTTTTGTCTTGTTTTGCTTTTACTGTCATATCTATGAGTCAGTTGCCAAATCCAATGCCATGGGTTTTTATCTTATGTTCTAAGAGTTTTATGTTTTAGCTTTTATATCTACATATGATTTTTAAACCATACTATAAAATTTTCATGCAAGTAAGGTAAATCCACTGACCTAGATTAACTCTATTACCGTTAAAATTTACTCACCCTTGAAAGACTCATTTGTTTCTTTAATAAATGGGTTTGTTTAGCCATGACTATGAACAAGTCCCTATACTAGAATATATATATTTATATATATATATATGTAGACTACACACAAACAAATGTATATTTATTAGTACATATACTATTTATTAGTATAGAATATTACTCTATATACTAACAAGAAGGTTATAGAAGTGCTGAGAAGAAAGACTGGATTACCAGTTTATGAAAGAGCAACAGTAGGTTGCAAATTCGAAAAAGAAAAGCAAAACCAACTCAAACCAGCTTGTATATACAATAATGCAGTTAAGTTATTGGCTCATGTCACTGAAAGCCAACTAGAAAATGGGCTTTGTGGGATTCAATGATATTGTCAAGGACCAGCTTCTTTCTCTACCTCCCATCATGTCAGCTCCATCCAACCTAGATGACTGCCAACAATTTCCAGAGCTGCATGCATCATCATCTCAATCAGGAAGTGAGCAGCCCTCAGCCAACACTCTTCTCTGCCTCTGGCTCTGGTATGACCTGAATCACATACCCATTCCTGGGTATCCATAAATGTTGATTTATGGCCAGAGTGTATGATTATGTTAATTGCTTTCACTGCTGTTTAGCACCAGTAATGGAGTTGGGCTTCTTCCCACATGGGAAAGATATGGTTCTCAACTAGAAATTGGGCAAGTGACAAAGAAAACAGGAACGTATATTGGGGAGAGGGGAGGAACATCACAATGTTCACCACAGGTAATCTCAGAGAAGTCTTAACAGAAGAGAAGAGATTTGACCTGGTTAGAGGGAAACAAATAAAATAGTGAGTGTGAAGGCTCAGTTTTAAAAATAGGGAATAAGCATCTATATTTTAGCTCGACCGCTGGTGTCAGGTGAAAGTTAATAATCCTAGTAGGGTAACTTGGGGACATATCATAATGGAGGACTTCAAATACTTGACTGAGGAGTTTAGACTTAATTCACCAAGCAACAACAACAAAAAAAAAAAAAAGAAGGAAAATGACCTTTTTCTTAGAAAAAAAATTTTTTTCTCTAAAACTGTATGGAGATGAAAGAATTTTAGAAGAATTTATTTTAATGCTAGGTTGTGGTATTTGAATAAGCTATATTCACCAGTAGAAATTCACTCACTCAAGTGACAAATATTGATTGGGGATATATGATGTGTGTCCAGTACTGTTCTGGCAATAGCTGAGTTGTTCAGTGGTGAAATATAGTAATGTTACTGCCTTTGTGAAGGTTACAGGCCTGTGGAGATCCTATCATCTATGTCTTCGTGGTATCAGATTCTAATGTCTCCTCTGCCTTTGGAAAGCGTTACACCCTGGGTCAAAACAGTTCACTCACAGTCAATGGAAAATAAATTAAGAAAGCATTCAAACCATAGTTAACAAACCTGCGCATAATCTCCATGTGCCTTGCCAAGTGAATCCATCCCTCTTCTAAATCCTCCAAGTCCAGTTGATACTTCACTACAGAGAGGTCACTCTTCAGCCCTAGTTGGATGAAGGGATGTGAACTTCACCCAGAGATTTTACTTAACCTCAAACTCAACATACTCATCTTCAAAATGGATCTCTTTGCTTTACCTCAATTGTAGACCTAAATATTGTCAAGTTAAAGTCAAAGCAGAGACTAGACAATTAAGTTAAATCACCCATAATACACTTGGAAGTCCCTTCTTTCCTCTCCCTGCACCTCCCCCACCCCCATCCCCTTTCTTTTAGCAAACCTCTACTGTGTACTTTCAAAGGCGCAGGACTGGAGAAGAACAGCTATACAGCCCCTTACCTGCCCAACTCCCTAATTTTTGTTATGAGTTACTCCTTTATTCCCTGTATGACCTGAGCTCAGAAGGATGCATTTGAGAAGAAAACAATTCTCTTCCCCCAACCCAGAAAATGTAGCTTTGCATTGGTCTGAGAAGCGAAACAGCCTAACTTAAAGCTGGAAATAAGGCAAGTTTATCCTAAAGGAAAACTTCTTCAGAAACAAACAAAAAGAAACAATGAAAAACCACATACCATAGAATTTCAGCTCTATGACATTCTGGAAAAGGCAAAACTATAGAGACAGTCAAGGATCACAGGTTACCAGAGGTTGGGTTTTTTTACTATAGTGTAGATACTTGTCATTACACATTTGTTCAAACCCATGGAAGTTATAACACCAAAAGTGAACCCTAATGTAAACTACAGACTTTGGATGATGATGGTGATGATGATGGTGGTGGTGGTGGTGGTGGTGGTGGCCACCACAGGTTCATCAGCTGTGAACCTGGTGAGGTTCTGGTGGGGATGTTGATAATGAAGGAGGTTGGGGGCAGGTAGGGATAGATGGGAAATCTCTGTATCGTCCACTTGGTTTTGCTGTGGACCAAAACCTGCCCTATATAAAGTCTGTTTTAAAAAAAAATGAGAAAAGGAGAATTTATCAGTCCAACCAATACTTACTAAGCCCCTGGATATGCCAAGCACTACTATATGACACACTGTAGTATCAAGGGCGAATAAGACATGCGTGGATCCTGCCCTCACAGAACTTCCATTAATGTTGTAATCAGATAAAGTCATTGTGCTTACTGAGTTGCCCTTCCCAGATAGCATACTATAATTCTCTACTCCAACTGAGAGCCCCGGCTTCCTCCAGCAGGTAGCTAATGGGTAATTCCAACTGGCTTAAAGGGGCCAGGCCTTGCAGCCCCTGAGAGAAGATACCCCCAAGTCCAATAATTCTCACCTGAAGCTTTTGAAAAATTCTGTTTCTGGGGTATCATCTTCAGAGACTCCAGCTCAGTAGGATTAAGGTTTTGCCCAGATACTACACTTTGCCAAGCACCCCAAGTGGTTCTGATGCAAGAGATTTGAAAACCAGTCATTCAGCAGTGGATTTCACTCTAAATAATAACAGTAATCACTCTTGTCCTGTTTTGACATACTGAATCTTTTTTTTCTATTTATTTATTTGGGTGGAGGGGGGAGCATAAGAGAGGTAGGGGTAGAGGGAGAGGGAGAGTCTTAAGCAGACTCCATGCTGAGTGTGAGCCCCAACACAGGGGTCAATCTCAGGACCTGAGATTATGACCTGGGCCCGAACCAAGAGTTTGATGTGTAACCAACAGCACCACCCAGGCACCATTGGTGGAGTTTTTAAAATACCTAGAACATGTCAAAAATATGATGATATAGGCACTCCTGTACATTGCTTACCGGAGTGGAAATTGGTAGAATTTAAGTGAAGGGCATTTTGACAATATATATTAGATTTTATAGTATAAATAGTTTGACCAAGTAATTTACCTTCTAGGAGTATTTCTTAAGGACATAACTTAAACACATATACACAAATAAAACCCACAGAGATCTATGTATAGGGCCATTCAGCATAGCCTTGTTTACAATATTAAAAATTTGGAAGCCACCTACCTGTCAGTGAAGGATTGATTAAAAGAGTAAGCCATCTAACAAAGTGCAATCCATTAAAAATCATGTCATCTATATCTATTAATAATAGAAATAAACCTTTAACTGACTTTTTAAAAACTACATAAAAAACTACATGTATAGTATAATCTTGTTTTTAAATAAAATAATAAATGTTAGGCACATTGTGGGAAAGAAATCACTGAAAATGTTAAGAGTGATGATTTTGGGTAATTATAGTAGAGATTTTTATTTATACATTGTTACATTTCCTGAATGATTTCTACAGCAAGCATATGTTACTTTTAAAATCTCCTCCTCCCTAAAACCCTTTATATTTAAGTTTTATATTTGCAAGGGGATTTTCATTGAAGGACTGGCCTCTAAGGCAGTTTGTATATTACTCTATGAGGGGTGGGGAAGGAAAAGGAGGTAATGGAGGGGTCTGGAAGAAAGAGGAAGAGGGTAATTGGAGTCCACCCTACAGCCCAGGGCCCCAGACTAGGTCTGAACCTAATGGCAAGACAGACTACAAGCAAGGATGAAGAGATCTTCTCCCAGGGGACACTGTGAGACAGAGAGGCATAAACAATGTCACTACAGTGTTCAACCAGGGTGTATGGCAGGTGACACAGAGTAGGACTAGGACAAAGAATTATTCTCAATTCAGAGCAGCAGGAAGGAGCAGCAAGGGCCTATGGGAATGCTGAACCATCTTGGCATTTCGAGGCTAGAATACTTTCTATGCTCCTATGCTCCTCAGATGTAGCAGCATAGAAAGAAAGCTCTGCTGCCTCAGCCAGAGCCAGCTGGGTGCAGCAGCCAGGCCAGGTTGGAGACGGATGGATGCTGAAGGGTAATGCAGGGGATGAGGGGTACAGGGAGGATTTCTAAGGTGAGCAGTATGAGAGCATGTTTCAGTGCCGAGAGAAGCATCTAGCAGTGGGACAGAGGAGGGAGAACTAGCTCTTCTCATTCCACCCATAGTCTTGATCTGATCTCATCAGCATCATGGTTTTAACTACCACTCTAATGGAATTGGCACATTTTATGCCCAGGGCGCAGGCACACAATAAAAATATACTAAATAGATGAAGCTTTCTGCTGGCTTCTGGATCTAAATCATTAACTCATCATCTCTCAGCAATTCCACTGCTACTAACTTAATATCACACACACACGCACGCGCGCGCGCACACACACACACACACACACCATTCTTCCTTTGGTGTTCATTCTCAATGAATGGCAACACCATGCACCTAGTTGTCAAGCTAACTATGTGAGATCCTCCTTAGTGCTCCTTCTCATCTCTCCCCATAGACAACAAGTCAACAAGTGTACATCCTCCCTTTGGAGAGCTCTTGAATCTATTCTCTCCTGTTATTCCCACCACTGTTTTCAATTCAGTCTCTCATCATTTTGCGTTTGGGTTACTCCAACTCTTATTTTCAGCCTATTCCTCACTCTGTTGTACACAGCTATGCTGCCCACTGTTAACAGTACCATTTTCTGAAAATTTAAACCTGATCATGGCATTCACTTACCATTCTGAGCTTCAAAATAAAATGCAAGGTAAATATTCAATAAATGACTGACTTGCCAAAGAAAGGGAGGATTCACCTTGGAAAAAGATTGCCAGCCCTTCCCAATCTGGGATAACTTTGGGCTAGTCATCTTTTATTATAATAATCTAGTTCCAGTTGGTCTCAAGGCAAAAACTCAAAACAGGTGTTTCTAGGTTTGGTTACTTGCTCAATATTTTCACTGTCCCACAGGAAGAAGGTCAAGGGGAGCATTGATATAGAGTACAAGGTGACAACAATTTTTTTGTGGCTATAACAGAGAACCCATCATGCCAAGAATTGGGAAAAGGCATCTTTAAAGTGGAAAAATAAAAGGTCACTTTGGCAATTACATATCATGCATTTAGCCTTGCTACCTAGAAGATACTAAAATAAGCTGTGAAATAGTTCATTTCCAAATAAAATGAGGAGGGACTAAGAAGCAGCTAGCAGAGCTTAGAAAAGTGCAAGCCATGTAACAGTAATTTCATTTCTTTCCAGGATGAAGTAGCAGGCTATGCTGATAAGGAGGAAGCAATAGCTATAATCTATATAATCTACTCCTTGCAATAAAGATTCCGATGTGATGTTATCCCCAAGAACCTGGGACGATGCAGTTCAGTTGAAGATGGCTAAATTGCAGATTCGTATGTGATGCCAACACCACGGCATTTCTCAAAGAATAGCAAATATACTCTTTTTGACAAAGAAAATGTTAAGATCCACCTTTTCCAGTATTGCGAAATCTAGAACAACAACAAAAAAAAACCATATGGGAACCCTCTCTCATTTTCACTGTAACAAAAGACTGAACTATAACAAAATCTGCACTTAGTAGACAGGCTCGACATGGTGGCCAATGTTATAGATAATGGCTAGTGATAACGCTGCTGCATCATGTACTTACCTGGGCAATGAATAACCTGTGAGTGTCACTGAGTAAATAGGGCATACACAAATAAAACTATAAGTAAGACACAGCTAGGTTGAGGTTAAAAGGGATGTCATCATTTCTTCCAGCAGTACTGATGCCTGTGGAACTTTGGAGTAATCGCTATCCTTCCTCAAAATACTATTACTAAAAATCAGCCAAAAATGCATTTTAAGCCAAGCACTTAGAATACAATTTTTTAAATAAGCAGGATATACTTTTTTTAAGGTTTGTTTATTTTAGAGAGAAGAGAGCACACACGAGCATGCGGAAGGAAAGAGGGGCAGAGATGAGGAGGGAGAGTCCCAAGCAGACTCCATGCTGAGCCCATAGCCCTACTCAGTGCTCAGTTCCACCGCCCCAAGGTCACAACCTGAGCCAAAGCCAAGAGTCTGATTCTTAACCAACTCTGCCACCCAGACACCTGTACTTTTTTTTTTTTTAAGTAAGGTCTATACCCAATGTGGGGCTTGAACTCGCCACTCAGAAGAGTCACACACTCTACTGACTGAGCCAGCCATGCAATCCCAGGACATATATTGCTGTCTCCCTCGTCTCAGAGAGAAGAGGTTCTCTGT